GGTTTTACCTTGGCCTTTCTGGGTGTGTCTTACTTTCTCTTTCTCATTTCTCCCTCCTGTAAAATGACTCAGCCCTTAACTTTGGATGCCCTGGGGCTTTTCCCATCCTCTCCTAGCCCTGAAAGACCCCAACTCTACATCTTTAGCCCCTGGTTTTCTCTCAAGGTCCTGCCTCTTGTGTCTGGCTTCTTGGTAGCTGTTTCCACGCGGACGCGCCTCAGACCTGACCTAGGTGCGTAAAACCAGCTCCCCTTCCTGCCTCTCCTATGGCTTCACTAGTCCAAGTGCCTCACTTTCCCTTTTCCTTTGTTTTCCAGATCACATTTAGTGTCCAAGTCCTCTCAGATTTTCTTGTAAAATATTCCTTTATCTTCCCTTTCCTCTATTCTGATTTGGAAGTCAGTATGGTGTAGTGGAAAGTGCAGACTTGGGCCCAGAGACAGGGTTCGATTCTGACAGCACAGTTTTCTGGTTGCACGACCTTGGGCAAATGGCCACACTTAAATCCTGATTCATTGTCCACAAAGTAGACACATGTAGAAGGGTGGACTCATGCTTGCCTCACTCCCAGCTCTCTGATTTCGATATAGAGCAGGGTTTCTCAATCTTGCTGCTATTGACATTTTGGACTGGAAAATTTTTTGTTGTGTGGGCTGTCTTGTGCATTGTAGGACATTTAGCAGCATCTCCCTGTTTCTTACCTGCTAGATTCATCTTCCCACCCCTAGTTGTGACACCAAAAATGTCTCCAGAGACTGCCAGATGTTCCCTGGGAAGTTAAATCGCTCATGGTTGAGACCCACTGGAGTAGAGTGACTTTGAGTCTTGGGTTGTGGGTAATAGCACAGGCCCAGGTTTTCAGGTTTTAACCTTTCAGTCATTAGCCACATGTATGAAGGGCCTACATCACTTCTGATTAGTCTTTTTCTTGATTACTTTTGAAGTCTCCAGGTACTGTGCTGACTTGCTTCATTAAGTAGTGCCTTTCATTTCATAACTCAATTCAGCATACATTGGGATTGCACCTTGTTTTTCTCTTGCTGGAGAGCGAAAGACCAATTACAGTGGGAAAAGGAACCCCAGGACTCTCACAGGGACCCCTGGAAGCCTGGCACAGCCTGCTGCTTGGGCGCCCTGGCTTGTATTAATGATGAATGCAGATCCAGGAACCCCACTCTTGTGAGCACTATGCTACCATTTTTTAAGCGCCTACCTACTCTGTGGCATTTTACTATCATTAACTTATTTGGTCCTTGTGAAGTAGGTGTTATTTATTTTTACTTTAATGGTAAGAAAAGCAAGCACAAAGGATGTTAAGGAACATGCCTTAGAGATATAAAGTAGAGAAATTGCAATGAGAGGCCAGGCAATATGGCACAAAAGCCTGTGGCACTAAACCTCTGTGTTCTTCTGCCTTCCTGGATCAGCCTTTGCTGTGGTTAGGGCACAGGAACCCATGGAGGAGGAGCTCCTCTTAATTGGGGCTCCCCATCTTGCCACCACAGGGTCTAAGGATGGAGAACAGATCTAGAGGCCTAGGCAGATGGCTGGTTGAGAACATGAGCCCCAAAACTGTGTCCAGCATAGGGAAGGCCCCAATTAAGATAGTTTCCTCCTTCACAACTTGTACAAAATTGGGTTGTACAGGATGCTGGTTGCTCACTTTCCCCGGAGAGAACAGGCCAAGAGTTCAGTGCCACTCACTCAGCTTGCAAGTGAGAGGCTGACCTTTGCCCCATAGTCTGGTCCTCTACAGCGGGATACTGAGGTCCTCCCCAGGGACCTGTGAAGGGTAGATGACCAGGTGGGGACATGGTTGGAGGTTGGGGGAGAGAGACTGTGGCCCCCTGGCCCTAGGCAGAGGGCACACTGGGCGTCCTGTAGCACTGCAGAGCCCCGTTCCCATGGGGTGGGGCGTCTGAGTCTGCCTGGCTTGGCGAGGAGAGGCCAGGTCTGGGAGGGAGAGTAGGCTTCAGTGCTGCTGGTCAGAGGGGCAGTGATGAGAGCTGCCAAATGCTGCCGAGGATGTTGTGGGGAAGACAGCCCTCACAGACTTGCTGAGATTGAATGCAGAGTTTGTTCCAACCCTGGCCCATGTGGAAGCCTGTTGGTCCCCTCTCTGGGAGAGCAAGGGCAGGAATGGCCTCCTAAGAGGACTGCTGGTGTCCCAGGGAAAGAACCTGTGCCTGCAGCTTGTCCTGAGAGCAATGCTAAGACTCTGTTACGAGAAGGGTCAGAGAAGCTGCTACGGGCCCAGAGCCAATCCTCATGCCATAGCAGAGAGGCTGGCAACAGAACGGAAAGGCTGAGGCTCCAGAGTCAGAGGTGCACCGAGTGTTCCATAGGCCCTGGGCACTTTCATCTTTCTCATGCTCCAGAGTGTTCAGAAGTACACCCTCCATGGGGTTCTTAAGGAAAGCTACCTGTTTCTCCCTCCTCCCAGAGGCCCACAAGAACATTAGTATCCTACAGGCTCTGGGAAGGTTTGCCATGGAGAGACCTATAAACTCTTTTTAACCAGGATTTCTCAAATGCTCTTGACCATGGGTCTTTTCTTTCCATACCTATTAACTTTTCTCCACCATAGGAGGTGCTGTCTTCAAGGATGTCTTAGTACGAGCTGTTATCACAAAATACCATAGCCTGAGAGGCTTATAAACAGCAGAAATGTATTTCTCACAGTTCTGGGGATTGGAAGTCTGAGATCAGGATGCCAGCATGGTTGGGTTCTAGTGAGGGCTCTCTTTCGGGTTGCAAAGATTGCCAATTTCTCATTGTATCCTCACATGGCAGAAAGAGAGTGAGCTAACTCTCTGGCCTCTTCTTATAAGGGCACTGACTCCTTTCATGAGGACTCCACCCCTGTGGCCTAATCACCTTCCATAGGCCCCACCTCTGAATGCCATCACATTAGGATTAGAGTTTCAACATATGAATTTTGTGGGGACACATTTAACTCATAACAAAGGAGAATCCCTGAGCAGGGAATCAGGCACAGGGACTAAGGCAGGAACTACATGATTAGATCCCCAAGGAAGTTAGGCAGAATGGAGACACAGTTCTAGAAAAGGAGTCATAACAAGCAGACCTGATGGTAAACTCCAGAGTTAGGGCTTCTTAGTTTCCTCCTAACTAATGGAAGTATGTGTTCCAAAGGCTAGAGTAGGGATAGAGGAGAAACGGAGAGGAACAGAAAGGAAGATGTATATCGAGTTCCTCCTATTAGGCAATTTACATATGAGGTAAATATTAATATCACTATTTTACAGATGAGGAAACTGAGGCACAGAGTCCTCTGCTTAGTAAATTTCTATAGCCTCTATGACAGTGACAAATATGGTATGGATTAGTAAAAATGTCATGATAATAAGGACAAAATTCTAAAACCAGAATGCTTACACAACTCCAAATCTTTTCTTTGTTCATGTAAAGACCATTTCCTGGGACTGGCCAGTTTGGGTTGATATCTGTTCATTCTGCTGTCAAAGATAAACACAGCTGGACAGTAAAGTGATGAGAACGTTTTAATTGTTCTTAACTATTGCAATAGGGAAAAGAGTCCACTGTGAACTGAACTCAACTTTGATTTGTACGGAAGTGTCTTGGGTATTTTAAAGACAGAATGAGATCAGTAGAGTCGGGGAAGTGAAAACTTACAAAAAGTCAGAAAGGGGGTTGGTCCATGTGAAACCCATCTGGGTTTGCAAACTGGCATGCATGGAAGTTAGGCTCCTACCTTCCCACCGAATCTGGGACCCTGGGACCCTGTCTTCAAGTGTTGATAAAAGAAACAGTAAATTCTTTAGGCAGCCTTGAGTTTTCCCAAACAGGCACTTTAAGGAGGGGCTACCATCATCCTAGGGATGTGGCCTTGAGCCATCAGAAACGATATCAGTGTTTTTTCAAGGCTTTATAGGCTGAAGTTGAAAGGCCTATTCAAGAATCAGGCTCTGAGCCTTGCTAGAGTTCGGTCAAGAGAGAATCTTTGTCACTATTCTCTAAATCTAGGAAATGAACAGATTATTAAAACAAGGTTAAAAAAAATAGCCAGGACCCAAATTCATGCTGGAAAAGTGAAGGTTAAGTGCCACAGGGGAGGGGCAGGGTTGGAGAGTTGAGTTGGAATCAGTGCTGACAATATTTGAAGGCATGGGTAGATTTCTGCTGTGGTTTAATATTTTACAAATGCTATTTCCTGTCACATAGCTGAACTAAATACCACACATGTTTGCGATTGAGTATTATGAGCTGCAGAACATAAGTGCTAATAATATGGTTCATGCAGCCTGTGGGCACTTCTCCCATGACCTAAGATGACAATAAAGCCTTTTCATCTTCCTTAAGGTTTTGTGTTATCTTAGAATTCCTTTTTGTCTCAAACTTTAAGTTTCCCCTTTAAAGGGAAAACTTTTATAGAAGTGGTATTTTAAACACTGTCGTAGCAAACCTTTAAGAAAATTCTTCATGCATGCGTTTTTACACACTGGCCTGTCCTTGACTTTGGCTTCGTTTCCAGGATATACATTCTGGAATAGCAGTGAGGGTCATGAGATTGCAGACCTCCAACCACACAAAACAAGAATGAGGCTTTGCAAAGGCAGCTCCTGTCTGGTTACAGTGTTGCTCTTGAGAAGCCTGGCGCTACAGGGAGTCTGCGAATTCCTTATTAGGGGAACAGCCAATGAAACTACACAGATACTGACATTAAGACATTCTTTCTCTAGATTATGGAGCATTGTTACAGAGCAAAAAAGTCACAGGCATAAAGGAGTCAATTCAGCCCTCTGCAAAGGGGAGGGTGTTCCTGGGAGTCCAGACGAGTAGGAACTGGCGACAGTGACAGTTTGGTCGGGGCTGGTACTAGAAGGCTACTGATAGGTGTTGGTGAAGTGTTCCTGGGTGCTGCTGAATACCTCCTCAGCATCAGTTCTCTGCTGACATCTGGCAGATTCAGAGAACCAGATATTAGGGACCATATTGGAGGGTGTTTTTCTCCACAGATACACACCAAAGAGGACACAAATTCTTCAGCTGCAAATGACATGGAATGCTGCTTCGCCAAGCAAATGCATCTAATCTAATCTCTACAATCTGCAGGAGAAGGTAGAGCTTCATATTTACATTTCATTTGAAAAGCAAAGGAAAACTGCAAAGAACAGTGGAAGCAGACCCTGAGAATAGAGGTGGGGATGGTAGGGGAGAGGACTTTGCAGGCAGTTACACAAAGCTTGGAGAACTGGGCCGTATACCAAGATTGCCACTAGAAGAGAGGGGGATCCCTAAATATATTTGTTAGATAATTCTGAGAAATTGTTCATCACTAAGGGTAGGATGGCCAGTTGATGCATTCAAGAAGGGGCAAAAAATAGGGCAGGCTGAGTTATGAAAGCTATTCTCAGAAATGACCCAAATTGATACTGAGCTGTTGTTGTGCTTGAGCAACCTTGGGGAAAAGTTCCCAGACTATGCTTTTCCCACAGTTTGATGTCCAATGGGCAGATACATGTGGTGGCCTCGGTGGAAAACCAGGCTCTTTTCAGGGGAGAATAGCATTTTTCCAATTTAGGGAATTCCTGGCTCTAGGAAATGTTGGCTATACCCTGGTGCCATTTCCAGTGAAGGGTGGGGTGGTGGAAAGTGCTCAGAAAAAGCAGGACACCTGACACCAGTGAAGTCTCTCTAGACCTCTGGGGTGGTGGACTTTGGCATCAGACAGACCTGGTCATAGTCTAGGTTCTGCCTCTTGTTCGCTGGGCAACTTTAGGCAAGTAGCTTAACCTCTCTGTACTTTATTTTCCTCTTCTACAAAATGATGATGATATTACCTGATGAGGTTGTCAGTATTAAATGAGATGCATATATAGTCCTTTGCATACCATGTGCACATGGCATTTGATACATGTTTGTTAGTGTGGTTAATTGAACAGAATACCTCTGATTTTTTCCTAACTCTAAAATTCAGTGATTCTTTGAAATGCGGAGGGAAATATAGAGATATGCTTTATGGAAAAGTGAAAAGACCATTTAAAAATTATTCAACTGAAAACTTACTGAACTGTGCCTTATTTATGTCAGGCATTTGTAGGCAATGTGAAAAATGCCCTAATGAATGAGACATGACCCCTCCTTGAAAACGTTTCACTCTGTCTCTCAAAGAATGTATGAATGTTTTCTATGATAACTTGAAAGTTTTTATCCCTAAATTCTTTTGGTGACTCCAGTTTTCCATACTAGTGCTTCTTATTCATAAGGCTCGTTGTGAATAATTTGCAGTATTATCAAAAGCTGGATATCCCTTATCCAAAATGCTTGGACCAGAAGTGTTTTGGGTTTTCGATTTTTTTTTTTTTTTTGGAATATTTGCATTCTCAAATCCAAAATGCACCAAAAAAGATTTCCTTTGCATATCGTTGGCCTTTAAAAAGTTTTGAATTTTGAAGCATTTCAGATTTTGGATTTTTGGATTAGGAATACTTGACCTCTGTTAATATTTAAGGCATTGCTGTTTGTGAAAGATTTATTTTTAAACAATTTAGTGTCAACTCATGATAATCTCCCTTATACTTTTACAAGAATTCCAATATGATTTCTTACACAGGAGAAAGGGGTGGCGTGTAGGAACTGTACGTGCAGCTTTTGTTCATGTTTGCTGTGGTCTGCACCCTGGTGTCGTGGACCCACAATTTAGAATGGTTGGGGCAATTAATTCCTTTAAGGTTTCCCTAAATATGGGGATTACTCAACTCTGGGTACATCCAAGAGCATGGCTAGGCTTCTGATTGCCATCTGTCACACGTGCTGAGGTATAAGTTTGAAAACCACTGTTTCCCAGTGTGAATATACATATGTGTCTACTTTTAATTTGTTCTTGATTTCAGTGCTTTGAAAATTGTCAGCTGAAAAACATGTCTAATAATCTTAAGAGGAAATCAACACTTCCCTAGAAACCTTCCAACCTGAGAAATGGATTTCTAGAAATTCGCACCATAACACATTTTCCTTTTCTACCTGTCTCTCATTCATAGTCTTGGTGTCTTGCCCTATCTCTGAATTTTGTGTGGCATTGTCTTGTAGGAATTTACAGGATAATGTAGATTCGCTGAAAACAGTGCTCTGAAAGGTTTGGGGCACACAGGGTAGGATGGAATCCTGAGGAAAAGGCCAGGGAATCAGCCTGGAGGAATCTTTGTTTCAGAGGAAGGCAGCTGGGGACTTGGCTCTGGGAGTCCTGGGTTCCCGGCTCTGCACTCACTGGATTCTAGACCTTGGGGAAAGCGCCCAGAAGCTGTGGTCTGCTCTGGAGTGTCGTGCAGTTTGCATGAGATCTTGCCCACGAAAGGGCCATCTGGGAGACGCAGGTACTAACCCTCCTTGCAATGCAGAAATAACCAAACCAAAACAAAACGAACCTGGGGTAAAAAATATAGATGCTGCTGCTTGAATGCTTTTGGATTCCGATGTCTTGAAGCAGGTGGGGAGAAGTGGCAGAGGACTGAAGGAAGATGCATCTGGACTTCCCTGAGCCTTCTCCTCCTCCTTGGCTTTTCTGACAGACCAGGGCTCTGGACAGGGTGTGGTACCCTTTCCCTGCCAGAAGATTAGGAGGAAGGAAAGGGGAAGGAAGCCTCGATGGAATTGGTCCTAGTTGCTGACTTTGGGCCAACTGACTAATGGGGCCTCTGAGACCAGAAGGAAAAGGTGAGATCATATAGAGGCAGGGGGTGAAAGAGGTAAGAAAATGGAAATGAGTAAAAAGGATTGATAACGAAAGGCAGCAAGGATAGAAGAAGGGAGAAAGAGGAGCACAGTGAGAAACAAGCCTAACCTTGACCATGGGGAGCTAGAGCCTACCTAAGCTGCTGATTTCAGAACAGCCTCCAACTCCTGCCTTTTAAGCAGAGACAAAGGTTTGGGTTCCTACTGAGCACAATACAAAATTGTTTGGTTGAATTAAACTCATATCACATTTTCCAAGTGCCTCCTATGGAAGAGTCCTGCACAGAGCTGAGAGTGGGGGATAGGAGTGCACTTTGTATAGAGTTTGGGTTCAAGATAGAAGATTAAAAAAAAATTCAGGGCTATTTACAAAATAATGAACTTGATTTCTTTTGTCTTGCTTATGGAAATCAATTTTTTCTCTAAATAAACCAAAACTGGAGAAACTAACACCACTCTTCTAAATTTACCAAGGGAAAAGTGACCAGGCAAAATGGTTGGCATAGGTCAGAATAGGATTCAGTCTGAAGTTGAATTATTTCTTCTCTTGGTCTTCTTTTCTTTCTTTCTTTTTTAATAAACCCAACTAAAGAAAATATTATTATGATCTCTCACCCTATCTGAGGAGTTATTTTTGCTGGATTCCTTCTGAAGAGGGTGAGATGGGGATGGGTGGGAGATACTGCTGCTTATTTCCTGCCTCTGAGCCTGCTGGCGGGTCCCACCGAAACCCAGCTCCGAGGGAAAATGCTTTATGGTGACTTCAGCCTAAGGGCAGTGACAGTGAAATGGCCTCCAGAGATCCAGCGAGCCTGGCCTGCTGCTCCACTGTGTGTTTTTGTGCCCTCAGGAATGTGTGGATGCAGCATATGACAACACTGCTGCTGTCTGTCCCTGGCAGAGCCCCAGGCCCGCTGCTCTTTGTGTTGGCTCTTTTCCAGACTTGAGTGATTGCATTGGTTGAGCCTTCATTATCCGCAAGGGGAGGCTGGAGGGAGAAAAATAGGCCTTTCCCATGGGCATTATTCCAGCAGGTTTTGAGTTTTCACATCAGTGGATCTCATGGAGTTTTGTCAGTTTGAACATTTGGTTAAAAATCCCAGCACTAAGGCCCATGTACTTAGTGGTAATACAATTTCTGCTTTTGAAAAATTTTTCCATTGGATGTCAATCACTATAAAATTGTCTTAGAGTTGGAAGGATGCCAGAGATCATTCTAGTATAATCACAGAATGTCTGGAGAGGCTGTGCATATAGCTAGCAAGTGACAGAGCAGTGCCCAGCATTCAGGTGACCCGAGCCCCATGTCAGTGCTGTGGTCTGTATAGTTCATTGCCTCTGGTGTTGTTAGAATAATTTTGATAATTTATGTTGTATCAGATTGGGCTAAAGTGACTTGTGTTCAAATCCTGATTGTTTTCCATATCTAAGTATATACCCAAGAAAAATGATCACACATAACTTATACACAACTATTCATAGTAGTAGTATTCAAAATAGCTAAAAAGTGGAAACAAACCAAAGGTCTATCAGCTAATGAATAGATAAACAAAATGTGATATATCCACATAGTGGAATATTATCCAGCTAGAAAAAGGAATGAAGCACTGATACATTCTACAACATGGACGAATCTTGAAAACATTAAACTAGGCGAAAGAAGGCAGCCACAAAAGGCCGTATATTGTATAATTCCACTTATAGGAAATGTACAGATTAGGCAAATTCATGGAGAGAGAGAGTATAGTGGTTTCCAAGGCCTGGAGGAAAGGGAGAATGGGGCACAGGGTTTATTTTGGGGTGATAAGAATGTTCTGGAATTAGATAGTTGTGATGTTTGTACAACTCTTGTGTATACTAAAAAAATCACTGAGTTGTACACTTTTCTTAAAAGGGTAAATTTTATAGTATTTTAATTATATCTCAATAAAACCATTATAAAATATGATCCTGGTTCTGCCTCTTACTGGCTGAATGACTTTAGGCAATGAACTTAAACCCAATTAATCTCAGCTATGAAACAGGAATCGTGGGGTCATTTTGATAAATGAGATCATGAATTTGAAAATGTTTCTAAATTGTAAACTATGCACATTTTTGGGCTTTTAAAATTTATTATAAATTGGGTTTTTAAAATCTTCTCCTATATTTTCCATAGCACTAACAAGGTCTGTCTACATAGCCATCAATCAAATAAAGATTTATTGAATTGATTGAAAAGCATTACAATTTTTTAAATTTTGATTACAAAAACCCACATAACTTGAGATCTACCCTTTTACAAATTACTAAGTATACAGTACAATATTATTAACTATATGCACATTATTGTACCTATTTCTACAATTTTTTCATCTTATATGACTGAAACTCTGTACTCACTGAACAGCAACTCCCCATTTGATTGCCAGCCCATGGCAATCATCGTTTTACTTTTTCTCTGTTAGTCTCACTACTTTAGATACTTCATGTAAATGGAGTCATGTAGTATTTGTCTTTTTTCTGACTATCTTATTTCCCTTAGCATAATATGCTCAAGGTTCTATGTTGTAACATATTAAACTTCTTAAAAAGGAATTTCCTTTTTAAGACTGAATAATATTCCATTGTATGCATATATCACATTTTCTGTATCCATGCGTCCATCAATGGACATTTAGGTTGTTTCTGTCAAGTGGCTATTGTGAATAATGGTGCAAGGAGTATGGGAATGCAAATACCTCTTCAAGATCCTTTTTTCAATTCTTTTGGTTAAATACCCAGAAGTAAGTTTGTTTGATCATATGGTAATTCCATTTTTAATTTTTTGAGGAATCTCCATACTGTTTTCTGTAGCGGCTACACCATTTTGCATTCCCACCAACAGTGTATAAGGGTTCAAATTTCTCACAAGCCTGCCAAAATTTGTTATTTTCCTTTTTTTTCTTTCAAATAATGGCTATTCTAACAGGTGTGAGGTGGTATCTCATTGTGGTTTTGATTTGCATTTCTCTGATGATTAGTGGTGTTGAGCATCTTTTCATATATACCTTTTGGCCATTTGTATGCCTTTTTGGAGAAATGTCTATTTAGATCCTCTGCCTGTTTTTTAATCGGGATTTTTATTTCCATGCTATTGAGTTGTTTGAATTCCTTACATATTTTGGATATTAACCCCTTATCAGATATATGGTTTGTAATTTTTTTTTCCCATTCTGTATATTGCCTTTTTTACTCTGTTGATTGTTTCCTTTGCTGTGCAGAAGCTTTTTAGTTTGATATAGTCCTACTTATTTTAGCTTTTATTGCCTGTGCTTTGGTGTTACATATAAGAAATCATTGCAAAGACCAATATTATGAAGCTATTCTGCTATGTTTTCTTCCAGGAGTTTTTTAATGTTAGGTCTTATGTTTAAGTTTTTTATGCATTTTGTTCTCTTTTTCTTTTTTTTTTTTCTTTTTTTTTTTGGACAGCTCAATGAGTTATATTTTTTATGCATTTTGAGTTGAGTTTTGTGTGTGTATGGTGTAAGAGTCAAATTTCATTCTTTTGCATGTGGATATCCACTTTTTCCAACACCATTAAGGAAGGGACTATCTTTTCCCTGTTGTATAATCTTGGCACTCTTGTTGAGGATCATTTGACCATATATTTGACTGTGGATTTGTTTCTGGGCTCTGTATTCTGTTTCATTCATCTCTACATCTGTCTTTATTCCAGTTGCCATACTGTCTTGATTACCACAGCTTTGTAATATATTTTGAAGTAAAAAAGTGTGAAGCCTCCAGTTTTGTTCTTCTTTCTTAAGTTGGCTATTTGGGGTCCTTTGTGGTTCCATATGAATTATAAGATTTTTTTTTTTTTGGAGAAAAATGCCATTGGGATTTCGATAGGAATTACATCGAATCCGTAGATTGCTTTGGGTAGTATGGACATTTTAGCAATATGAGTCTCCCAATCCATGAATAGGGGATGTCTTTTTACTTACTTGTGTCTTTTAAATTTTTTTAGTCATGTTTTGCAGTTCTCAATGTATAAGTCTTTTGCCTTCTGGCTTATGTTTATTCCTAAGTATTTTATTCTTTTTGGTGTTATTATAAATGGGATTGTTGTCTTAATTTCCTTTTTTGATTAATTTTTTGTTAGTGTATAGAAAAAAACTGATTTTTATATGTTGATTTATATCTTACAACTTTGCTGAATTTACTTATTAGTCCTAACAGATTTGTGTATGTGTGTGTTAGGATTTTCTGCATATAAGATTGTGTCATCTGTAACAGAGATACTTTTACTTCTTTCTTTTTTATTTGGATGCCTTTTATTTATTTATTTTTTTATTGCCTAATTTCCTTAGCTAGGAATTCCAGTACTATGTTGGAAATGGCGGGAGTGGGCATCCTTGCCTTGTTTCTAATCTTAGAGAAAATCTTTCAGGCTTTCACCATTAAGTATGATGTTAGCTGTGGGCTTTTCATATATGGAAATTATGTTGAAGTAATTTCCTTTTATTCATAGTTTGTTAAGTGTTTTTTTGTCATGAAAGGATGCTGAATTTTTCAAATGCTTTTTCTGTATCTATTGAGATAGTTTAATGAATTTTCTTTCTTATTCTGCTAACATAGTGTATCACATTGATTGATTTACATATATTGAACCATACTTGCATTCCAGGGATAAATCCCACTTGCTCATGGTATAGGAATCTTTTAATGTGCTGTTGAATTTTGTTTGTTATTGTTTTGTTGAAGATTTTTGCATTTATATTGATTGGGGGATATTGGCCTGTAGTTTTCTTTTCTTGTAGTGTCTTTGTATGGCTTTGATCTGGGTGATGCTGGCTTTATAAAATGAGTTTAGAAGTTTTCCCTCCTCTTCAGTTTTTTCGAAGAGTTTGAAAAGAATTAATGTTAATTCTTTGAATGTTTGGTAGAATTCAGCTGTGAACCCAGGATGGTCCTGGGCTTTTCCTTGTTGTAGGTTTTTGATTACTAATTCAATCTCTTTACTAGTTATAGATCTGTTCCTATTTTCTATTTTTTTAATGTTCAGTCTTGGTAGATTCTATGTTTCTAGGAATTTATCCATTTCTTCTAAGTTATCCAATTTGTTGATATGTAATTATTCATGGTAGTCCCTTATAATCCTTTTTATTTCTGTGGCATCAGTTGTAATGACTCTCAGTTTCATTGATTTTTTTCTATTGTTTTTCTATCTCTCTTTCATTTATTTTTACTCTAGTCTTTATTATTTCTTTCCTTCTGCTAACTTGGCTTGGTTCATTTTTCTTTTTCTAGTTCCTTAAAGTATAAGGTTAGGTTTTTTTTTTTTTTGAGGTCTTTCTTCTTTTAGGCTTTTAGGCAAAAAAGCCTAAATAAATGTTCACTCAACTATAAACTTCTCTTGTACTGTTTTTTCGGCATCTCATAAGTTTTGGTGTGCTGTGTTTTCATTTTCATTTATCTCAAGGTATCTTCTAATTTGCTTTTTTATTTTTTCTTTGACTCATTGGTTGTTCAAGCGTATTTTGTTTAAATTTCACATATTTGTGAATTTTTCAGTTTTCATTCTGCTATTGATTTCTAGTTTTATTCCACCATGGTTAGAAAAGATACTTTTATGATTTCAATCTTCTTAAATCTGTTCAGACTTGTTCTTTGTGCACTTGGGAAGAATATATGTTCTGCTGCTGTTAGGTGGAATGTTCTGTACATATATGGCTGGGCCATGTGGTCTATGGTGTTGTTCAAGTCTTCTGTTTCTTTATTGGTCTTCTCTCTCTTGATATTCTATTATTGAAAGTAAGGTATTAAAATCTCATACTATTATTGTATGGGTATTTATTTCTTCCTTCAGTTCTGTCAGTGTTTGCTTCATATATTTGGTTGGGTGCTCTGATGTTGGGTTCACATATATTTATAATTATTATATCTTCCTGGTGAATTAACCCTTTTATTATTTATAATGTCCTTCTTTGTTTCTTGTGACAGTTTTTGACTTAAAGTTTATTTTGTCTGATATAAATATGGCCACCTCTGGTCCTTTTGGGATCCATTTGCAAGGAATTACTTTCCATCCTTTCATTTTCAGCCTATGTGTGTCCTTAAATCTAAACTGAGTCTCTTGAAGACAGCATGTAGTTGGGTCTTGTTTTCTTTTTTTTTTTTTATCCACTCAGCCATCAAAAGGGTTGAGTTTTTAAGCTTTTCTTTGAACTCAGTTAATCTATATATCTGAATGCTTTTAAATCCAAGTATCTTTCAGAACTAAAGACTTTTAGTATCTTGTTTTTCCCTTCATTTTATATTCTTATTTTCTCTTTCTTCTTTAACAGAGCCAACATATTTGATTCCTTGACAAGACCACAATCTGATCCCAAACATGTGCTCCACAAACCCAGGCAACTGGGTCACCTTTGATGATGATCCCGCTTTCCAGTCTTCTCAAAAGTCAAAGAATTTGCCTTTGGAGAATCAAGGTGTCTGTAGACCAAATGGACTTAAGCTGAACCTTTCTGGCCTCAAGGAATTTCCCAGTGGATCTTCCTCTACCAGCAGCACCCCTCTCTCCTCTCCCATTGTAGACTTTTACTTCAGTCCAGGACCTCCAAGTAACTCTCCTCTTTCTACACCTACCAAAGACTTCCCGGGTATTCCTGGCATCCCCAAAGCAGGGACTCATGTGCTTTATCCTATTCCAGAATCATCTTCAAACAGCCCACTCACACCACCAGGAGTAGGTTCCTCCTTACCGCCTACTAAACCTACCTGCTTATCCCATGCTTTCTTACCCAGTGACCACTCATGTACTGGTCTTCCAGATGAAATCAGCCCTCACCAGGCTGAAAGCCAAGGGTTTCAAAGTGGTGATGCTCCCCAGTTTCAATATTTTCGGGAGGACTGGGCTTTTTCAAGTCCATTTTGGAAAGATGAAGGCAGTGCTTCCCAGTTTACCTTTGAGCCCCCAGGAGGCAGAAAGATATTCTCATCGAGAGACAAGGAGATACCAATTGATCAAAAAAGTCTAAATAAATGTTCACTCAACTATATCTGTGAGAAGCTTGAACATCTACAGTCAGCTGAGAACCAAGACCCACTTGGAAACCTGTCTATGCAATGTCTGTGTGCTGAAGACACTGTCTCTTCCTTTGTCCCCCAAGCGCTCTTCAGGAGTCAGCCAAAAGCTGGATGGTCTTTCATGCTGAGAATCCCTGAGAAGAAGAACATGATGTCTTCCCGGCAGTGGGGACCAATTTTTCTGAAAGTTTTACCTGGAGGAATTTTGCAAATGTATTATGAGCAGGGCTTAGAGAAACCATTTAAAGAGTTACAGCTTGATCCACATTGCAGGCTTTCTGAACCCAAAGTTGAGAACTTTAGTGTGGCAGGAAAAATCCACACCGTGAAGATCGAACATGTGTCTTACACAGAAAAAAGGAAATACCACTCGAAGACAGAAGTAGCTCATGAGCCAGACATAGAACAGATGCTGAAGTTAGGGTCCACAGAGTACCACGACTTCCTCGACTTTCTGACTACTGTAGAGGAGGAGCTGGTGAAGCTGCCAGCTATTTCAAAACCAAAAAAGAACTACGAGGAGCAAGAAATTTCCTTGGAAATTGTGGATAACTTTTGGGGTAAAGTCACAAAAGAAGAAGGAAAATTGGTTGAAAGTGCTGTGATGACCCAAATCTGGTGCCTCTGCTTCCTGAATGGGAACATGGAATGCTTTTTAACCCTGAATGACCTTGAGCTGCAGAAGCGAGATGCATGCTATTTTGAAAAAGACTCAGAAAAGAAGGGGATTGATATTCTCGACTACCACTTTCACAAGTGTGTGAAAGCACAAGAATTTGAGCAGTCAAGAATCATCAAGTTTGTACCCCTGGATGCCTGCCGGTTTGAGCTGATGCGTTTTAAGACTTTGTATCACGGGGACGACCTCCCCTTTTCTGTGAAGTCTATAGTGGTTGTCCAGGGCGCATATGTGGAACTTCAGGCCTTCGTCAACATGGCCCCGTTGGCTCAGCGGCCATCCCACACTGGTTCCTTGAGGTCCTGTGACAATGTAATGATACACTTTCCTGTCCCATCACAGTGGATCAAGGCCCTCTGGACCATGAACCTCCAAAGGCAGAAGTCCCTAAAAGCTAAAATGAACCGCCGGGCATGTCTGGGGAGTTTCCATGAGCCTGAATCTGAACCTGTCATTCAGGTCACTGTGGGGTCAGCAAAATATGAGAGTGCCTACCAGGCGGTGGTATGGAAGATAGACCGGCTTCCAGACAAAAATTCAAGTAAATATTCAACACCCCAGTTTGATTTTCATGGGAAACAGCTTAAATGTTTTCAGCTTCTCCTTCTTGGATTGAAACCAGGCAGAGACAGATGGTGACTTGTTAGCTGAGGCCACACATACTTAGACAGGTGGGAGAGGGAACATTAAGCCAAACAGCTGGTTTGTTTGTTTCCTCTTGCACCTATTTCTACCACATAAGTTTAACTTTTTACATGTTTTTAATATTATAAGAAACACCATCCTGGGAATCTGTTGTGGTTGGTGGCACTGAGGAAAAATTTGTAGACACTTGTGGTTGAGCTTCTTGAGATTAACCCATCAACCTCAGTTCTTAAAAGTATTGTTAACATAGATTAGATTCCCTAATTACCCCTTAAAGATCTGTCACCCATGAATATATCTGAGCTTTTTTGTATTCTCAGCCAGTACCATTTCCTCCTTAGGTTTTTGCCTCTTGCTCGCCTTTTATTTTTTTAATTTTTCTTTCTTTGAGACAGAGTCTCACTCTGTTGCCCAGGCTAGAGTGCTTTGGTGTCAGCCTAGCTCACAGAAACCTTGAACTCCTGGGCTCAAGTGATCCTCCTGCCTCAGTGTCCCAAGTTGCTGGGACTCCAGGCAAGCACCATCATGCTTGGCTAGTTTTTTCTATTTTTAGTAGAGATGGGGTCTCACTCTTGCTCAGGCTGGTCTCAAACTCCTGAGCTCAAGTGAGCACTAGGGTTACAGGTAGATTATAGGCATGAGCCACTACCCGGCCGACTGTCTTATTTTTAATCAAAGTGATTTCTTTGACTGAATGACCCATTTGACCATCTCAGCTGGTTGTTTTAGAATTGAGTAGACACAACCTAAGTGTTAAAAATAAGTTAATTTTTTCTAAAATTTTGCTAAGAAAACAATCTAGGAGTTCAGAACTTTGAAGAGACTGTTCTAGTACCACATTTCTTTTAGAATAGTAAGTTGGTGGTGGGCATAATAAAGTAAAATAGCAAAATTTGAAATTAGAGTTGTTCCCTGTTTTGGTTGAGTTTTGTCTAGCAGGAGGTAAATTGGGGGCAGATTTGGGGGATCTGAGTTGATGCATGTATTTATTTATTCAACCAATCCTTTACGAGCACTTACTGTATACCGAGAGCCCCATCAAGTGCTGGGGATAAAGAGGAATGAGATCTGGTTCCTGTTTCCAAATAACTCACAGCTGCTTTAGTTGTTCAGGGAAATTTAAGCTCCTCTTAGGCCCCCCCAAGCTGTGGACTTTGGAGGAAGCATTTTTATTTGGGATGGCCTTATAGGAGTATTTTTCAAAACTGACTGTATATTAAAATAGGCTCACAGTTTTTGGATAATCTTGATGTTCAGGCTCCACTCCATGCCAATTAAACTGGGATCTCTGGGGAAGGGGCCATGTTTTAAGAGCTCCCCAGGTGAACCTAATGTGATATAGCCAGGGTGAGGAACACTGTCATGTTCTAGAGTGGCAAGAGTAAGCCCCCGACTACAGTGGACTTGAGGCATGGAGCGTACACTGAGGGCCACAGGACCACCTTGTCTATGACTAGCAGTTTGCTGACTTCACATCTGTCAGCTGATTGGAGCTTGAGCTACGGACAGAGTCCAGCAGGTGAGAGACACAGGCCTGGTGGGCTGAGGAGCCACAGACCCCGGGCAGAAGGGAAGTCCCTGCACTGTGGTCCTCCCTGACACCCACAGTCTTCTTCATTAATACAAAGATCTGCCCCACAGTGTTCTCATGACTCCCATGAGTTGTGTTCTGCACCCACAGTAGTGAGGGTAGCTCAGGCTCAGGGCAGGGCAAAGTGGTGATGGTCACAAAGTGCAGAACGGTCATAAAGGATGGCCTCCGACAGCACCCCTGGTCAGCTCCAGTGCGGTGGGAACATCCACATCTCCCATGACATAATCCACAGAGATAACGTTTCCTGCCTTCATCTGTCACTTGGCTGGGGAGGCGAGTGTAAGCATTTGCAGACTATCTTCATGCCATGAAAATGAGTTTTGAGATCTTGAGTGCAAGGTTCCAAATGATCTGTTCTAAAAGTTATTTGTGCTACTTTTAGCTTAGAGGGGTTCAACAAAATCAGGATATTGGCTTTTATTTTGCTAAGCAAAAAGGGAAAGAAAGGTTGGAATGCGGATGCTCTCGGAGGCCCTGAAGGAGACCTGGCCAGGGCAACCTCACTTACTCTTCAAACTGAGAAATACCAATCACCTTTTCTGATTTTGTAAGTGGAGCAATGTATAAAGCTTCTTGTGAAAATGATCCTGTTTATAACACTGCATTTTCCCAGAGTTAATGGTGTAGCGAACTGAATTCAATCAACAAGAATTTGTTGAGAAGAGGGCTCACTCATTCACTCCACAAATACCCACTACATTTTTTCTAGGTATAGGCTCTGTGCCAGGTGCTTGGAAGATACAGACACAAACATGATCCCTGCTCTCCAGAAACTTAAGGGTCTAGAGTAGATGAGACAAATCCAGAAGCATCTATCCAAATGCACTGTGGAAAAGTGCTCTGTTCCAGGCCTGTACAAACATACAGGGATCCCAGAGACAGGGGTGTAAACTACCTGGGTCCCAGGGAGGGCTTTGCTGCAGAGTTGATGGTCAAGTCTGGCATGGGAGAATCAGCAGGGTTCCATCAGGGACAGAAACGGCAGAGCCCCAGGCATGCGGGTGGCAGATGCTCCCTACATTTTGGGACTGAGAGAGTAGTGGGGGAAGAAACCAGCCTGTGAAGGCCTTGTGAGCAGGCTGTGGCTGTGGAATTTGTCTGCAGGGCCTCAGGGTGTTTTCAGGCATGACTGTGACAGAATCATACCTTGTTTCTGAAGGGCAGGGCAGCGTGGGAGAGAGATTCAGGATGATAGCCACAGGCTGGGAGGAGGTGAGAGGTGCCGAGCAAGGGCGGTGGCAGTGGGAGGTGAGGGATGGACGAGGAAATTCAGAGGAGGTGTCCCCAAGACAATGACAGGCTATGGGCATGAGGGAAAGGGCAGGGATGGGATGGGTCAGGTGCTCTGGCTTTGGCAAATAGTGGGCAATGGTGCCGTTAGCGGAGACAGCTGAGACAACATCCTCTTCTTACCCATCCTTTTAAAATCTATTTCCCAGCCCTGGCTGCATGTTAGAATCATTAAAGCCTCAAAAACTACCCATGTTTAGGTCCCATGGCCTACCAGTCAGACTCTCTTCTGGGGGTGAGGCCCAGGTCCCGGTGTTTGTAAAGCCTCTCCCAGGCAGCCAGGATTGAGAACTGCCTGGTCGCTCTCCTGTGAAGCCTGTGATGGTCCCTAGGCAGACATCGTTCCTCTCCGCTCCGTGTGTCCCCGTGTCTTTTAGAGCTCTGTTATCGCCCTCCCACCAGCAGTTACTGGCCGTTGAGCTCACCAAGAACAATTACAAGAATGGACATTCCCAGAGAGGCTGGTTGGACTGGATCTTGGCCTTCATGAATTATTCTTGGAAGACTGTCATACCACAAGGCCCACGCAGAACAACGTTTCATAAGTATTTCAATTATATGGTGATAATTCACTGAATCAATCCTTTGGGACCAAGGCAGCTTTGTTGAGATGGAGTCTGTGGGCAAAGAGAAGGCCCAGGGAAAAGGCAATGGGGCTGTGTGGGGTGGAGCCCACAGGGCAGGGCCCAGCCCCAAGCCGGGCTGGGGACATTTCTGGGCTCACAGGGCTCTGTCCTAAGGCTGCTTCACTATGGGTTGGGGAGGGCGATGCTGAAGGTGGGAGGGAGCCGGGTGTTGTACTACCTGATTTCTCTCCTGAGAAGTGGCACGGAAGGAGCAAGGCTGGGGCAGGGAGCAAATCTTTCTCAAACTTTTGCCAGACCTTGAGTCACCTTGTTAAAATGTAGATTCTGAGTCAGCAGGTAAGGACCCAGGACGTTGTGGTTCTAACCAGTGCTCAGGTGATGCCAATGCTGCTGGCCTGCGGAACACAGGCGGTAATGTTCCTTCAACAGTGCCCCTGCCTTTCATTTCACAACAAAGCTTGGCTTGGTTCTGGAAACAGCCATACAGTGAAAAAAAAAAAAAAAAAAAAAAAAAAGCTTGGCTTGGGGCAGTAGCTCCTAGATTTCATTCAAATTCATGTTTGAGTGACAACAGAGGAGCTTAGGTTTTGTTGGGGGAGGGGGAGAAAGAGAATTGAGGACAAAGGAGGACGCAGGTTAGCCAAAGGAGGTATACCTGTGGCATAGAATTAGAAAGGGGGATGGAAGTGGTGGAGGGTCAATTAACACCTATATCCATCTCTAACTTCCCAGTTTTTCTCTTTTTCTTTGCCTTCTGTCATCAGCATACTGGTTCTCTTCTCTTCCACCTGTGTCATCCTCCTACCATTCATACCCTTTACCCCTCAACAGTTCAGTTTTATATATGTGATATTTTGGTTCAAGAAGGACTGAATATCAACGAGAGCTAGGAAGATTTTATGATTTGCATTCCTGGTCCCAAGAAAAGGAGTTAGGGTGAGAGAATAATTACCAAAGCCCGAGATTGCCCCCTAGTGGTCAGCATCGACATAACACAAATTTTATCTAATTCATTTATTCATGAATTTGACAAATACGTGTTAAGCCTCAAATCTGTCAGACATTGTGCTAGAGACAGATATGATACTTGTTCTTATGGGGCTCAACATCTGAAGAGGGACTGTGTAATTAAACACTGTAGAGTATTTAGAGTTTCCAAAAGCCAGGCAGAATACGCCAGAAAACTTGAAAGGAAAAATGCTCTCTTTTAAAGCTATTTTATATTTGTACTTTGCTGTTCAGAAGATTAAGTGAGTTCCGAAATAAGACGTTTAGTGCCTGATAACACTACTGGTTTCCCAGTCATGGTAGAAATCGTTTTAGCGCTGGTGGTGCGGAATGCCAGAAAAGGCCACTCAACTGCACTGGGTTTAGCAGCGTCTCAACACCTGTTAGTCTGTGTTCACTGTGAGTACCTGTTTTCCAGCTAGTTAATAGAGTGGAGGCTTCATGTAGGTCTTTAGCGCCCACAAATCTTATCCAGGGTGACTGCTTGCTCCTGAGCCCTCTTTCAAACAGGTAGACAGTAAAAACCTTCCACACACTGGTATGTTTGAACTTGGGTCCCCTGAACACTTGGGCAGCCCTAGGTCCTTTGTGATGGCCCAATCCTCTATCTTTCCTTTCTGAAAGGCTTGGAGGTGCCACTTTCAGAGAATGCAGGTAACCATCCACAGCAACCTTTGGGACCCTACATTCACATGAAATTAAGTTCCAGTGTTGCAGGGGTAATGCTAGGCTGTGTGCATATCGTGCTTTTGAATAGGAATGGATTTGGGAAAATACCTAGTTCACTTTATCCCCAATTTAAAAGTGACTGAAAAATAAAAGGCACAAAAACGTAGCAACTCTTGATTAAGACCATAATTCTGCATGTTAGAAGCATAAGATCAGAATTCTGTTTTCTCTTACCAACAGAATCATTGAGATACGATTTTTTAAAAAATAGTGGTGTCACTTTTTCCCTAGAGGACAGGTTATTTTGTACTTTATGTTTGTTCTCCCGCAAAACTAAAGCCTCCTGGTGTTTCTGTTCTGTTTTTCTGCGCCATTTGCCTCCACCAAATCAATTTGTGAATTTGGTCTAACTGCTTTTTATGCGGATAAAAAAGCTGACAAAGCAACTCAACAGAATAAATCATTTTTTTTCTTTGTGGAAAAATAATCCTCTCTTTGATCTTTTACCAGTTTTTAAGACAAGCTGGTAGAAATGTTTTGTTTCTAACATTTTTGGAATACTAGATCTTCAACTCAGGTTTAATTTTTTTTCCTCCAATTTTCATTGCAAAACTTTGGAGAACATGTTTGTTCCTATAAAAGGTGCATATCGGATCACTTCCAATATCATTTTCAACTCTAAGCATATAGAATTCATCCTCTTTATTAGCAAAGTTAAAGTAATTAAATAATAATACTGGATGTATAATTGAATAGCACTTTGCAAAGTAATAGTGTATGTTCAGCCCATCTACACTACTATCCAGTACTACTGACCCAGTGCTTTATTGTGTATCAACTGTCTAATCCTGATAACTTTATAAGGTTTGGGTTATCATCATTGCCCTTATTTTAAGATGGATGAACTGAGACTTGGATAAGCAACTTGTCTAGGATGACCTAGCTATAAGTAGCAGAGCTGAGATTGGACTCTGGGCAATCTGGGTCTAGTGTTTGTGTTTTTAGCCACTTTGCCATAACGGGACTGAAGAGGGCCTGAGTTAAGTGTAAATGAATGTACTATATCCTCACTCCAGACAGAAAGAGTAATGGAGTGTGGGGTGTCTCTGGGTATGTGTGGATGTGAATGAAGTTATCACTTGCCTGCGGTGCTCTGGGGTGTGTAGAGTACCTGGAAGGCCACTGTTGTCCTACCCTAGCTGTAAATGTGGAGATAGATAATGAGCATCAGTTGGTTAATTGATTGATGACATTTCAAGGCCTTTTATAGCCTTAGAATTCTATTAGTCTCTCTACAAGAAACCGGGTGTAAGGAATGAAAGGCAATTTATCTTTTAAGAATTAAGTAAAATCCTTTAAACTCTTGTTTTTGTGCCTAAAGCTATGTTCTGATAGCAATGTTCTTTCTCCAGCTATGTTGGTGGTACAGTAATTTAATCTGGCTTTTGAAATTACTGTTATCTTGTACGTTTATTTCAGTAAAGACAGCTGCGTTGGATATGTAAATGTTATGAACAAAGCAACAGAATCACAGAACATTTGTAAAGTTGCTACAGTGGTTACAGTGAAAATATTTTTTCATTCCATTATAACACACACACACACACAAACACACACACTCACTATATGACCCCCATCTAAAATCTTTGAGTATATCTAATATCCTTGGGTCTGGCATAGAGCCCAGCCTGGCATAGTGTTGATGCTCAATAAATGACAAATTGAATTGAGTGAAAATAAATATTAGATTGAAATATTGAAGGCCAATATGCCCATTTCTACATCGTACATCTGTTCTAGTCAAAGTGTTTTGGAAGGATAAGTGAGAATTACAGTAGTGAAAAATAATCTGTTCTACTGAAAAAAATTGTTGGCCTGGAATATTTTCTGAAGTGTAATGAAATTTCACCAACTTTTAAAAAGCAGATTTTTTCAATAATATGACCTAATTTGGGCTGAAGTTTACTTTCACATTATAAATAGAGTGGTAAGAAAATGAATAAATTAAGAATTATTGTAAGAGCTTACTCAGTCTATTTAAGAGAAAGTGTTTTCTACAAGACCTAAGCACACTGTAGCAAAATAAGTATGTTGAATATAAATATTACTCCTATCTTTTAATTAAAGAAAACTTAGTACTATTTCTAATTAAAAACATTTTTAGGAGTTAATCTATGCATATATATAGTAATAAAGTCATACTTCTTTTAAAGCTAGTACTTAAAATTGCAGATAGCTTTCCCCCAGTTAGTGCAAAATGGTAGATTTTGATGGTATGTTGCTTAACTGGAATTCTCACTGCCATAGTGTTAATGAAATTGCTTATTAAGGAGAGAAACGAGTGCCTTTTATGCTTAGGAGAAATGTTCAGTTGCCATTGAAATGCTTTTGACTGTTTGATTTTTTTTTTTCAAGGTCCTGACCATCCCCATTGTCTGTCATACAAACTAGAACTTGGATCAGACCAAGAAATTCCCTCTGATTGGTATCCATTTGCTACTGTTCAGTTTTCAATGCTTGACACCTGTGCCTCAAGGACTGCGGTCGGGTCTCTGGGGGTGGAGAGTGACGTCCAGCCCCAGAAACATGTTCAACAGCGAGCTTGCTACAATGTCCAGGTACCTCTCAGAGCCCCTGGTGCCAGTTGGGGCTTCCAGAACTGTGCCCTGATTCGGCTTTCAATATTTGCTTTGCCCTCTTATATGACTGTGTATGTGTGTGCGTATGATGACATTTCACCTGGGCAGGAGCTCAGCTATGGAAACTTGGTGGTCACCATTGAGCTTAGCTCTTCCCCATCATTCTAGAGAATGTTGGGACACCTAATAATTCAGGTTTCCATGAAAAAACAGAACATTAAAAAAATTAATATTTTAGAAGCATATTCACAATAAAAATTATGATGTTAGAACATTGTTTCCCAAAATGTGTTCTGTGAAACATCTGTCCCATATAATAACCTAAGAAAAGACTAAGTTGGGGAATGCCATACATTAAGTTAATGTTAGATGAAGGCTCTGAGAAGTCCTGCAATAAAGAAACTTGTTATACTTACTTAACCCAGTTTTTCCCAACTCACTGGCTATGGAATCTTGTCTGTGTGGGGATGTGTATGTAGAATGCCTGTCAGTATCTTGTGGAATATTTGGAGAACTCTTAGAAATGCTGAGTGACTCTATGACAACAGTTTTAAATGCTCACCCTCAACTCTTCTGCATTCTTGGGCCAGATGAATTAAAGAGTGGCATGCGCTTACATCTGTTTCTAAATTTGTTTTTCCTTCTTATCTTCAATGTTAGTAGATACATGGATAACCTCTGCCACATATTTCCCATAGTATCATGAAATGGTGACATAGGTTGCTGGTTTGTTCAAGAGTATTTTTTTTCTAACTAGAAAGTATTTAAAAATGCACCAAAATTAAATAGCACATAACAAACAGGTGGTTCAGTTTAGAATTTGCATGTTTGTTTTTTAGCTTTCACATGAATGACATTTTATACTTTTTAATAGCATTTTAAAATCTGTGTTGCTTGACTTTCAGCTATGATCAATGCCATTCTGATTTTGTACTCATTTATTCCTATTAAAAATAGTGATTTTTAATAATAGTGATATTATATAAGATTTCATTAATACCAACCAATGCTCCTGTACTATAGGATTTTTCTTTATTTTGGCTCGTCTGTTTAGAAGTCGACATGTTTGGGTCAGTGACGTCTTTCTATTGATAAAAGTACTGATGGGTACATGCAGTTCTGTGCAGCCCCTTCAGCTGAAGGACTTATTCCCCTAGCAGCTGGGAATTGCCCCAGCTGAAGACAGCTGCCCTGCCTGAGGCCATGCCCCCTTCCTGAGTCAGCTTGTGTCCAGTGACGGGTAGGTGCAGGGGTGTAAAGGCCCCTTTGCCTCAACCTGGGCTAACTGCAGGGCCAGCCCAGCTTCAGCTCTTCCTGGGCAAGGGCATTGGTGAAGCCTTGGTTTCCACTGCCTTGCAGCCCAGCTTCTCCCTCTGCCCCTTCTGCTCCCTTCCCTGCTTCATTCCTCCCTGGGTGTTGACCCCAACAGCACTGCCCAGTGAACGCTCTGCACACAAATCTCCATCTTAAGAATCTGCTTCTTGGGGAACCTGACCTATAACACTGGGTATCTAAGTATTATATGGCACTGAGACGTGAGTAAAGCGCACATGGAGACTGCATTTGTTCTGATTCTCCTATTCACAGAAGATGCCAGTTTCATGTAGCTTTAGTGGACAACTCAAAATTACCAAAGTACCTTCAGCTTAAATAGTATTTACAAGTTTATCTGCACCTGGTGGCAGCTTCAAAATGTTTTTTTCCATTTAATAAGTGTCTGTTGGCTGGGCACAGTGGCTCATGCTTGTAATCCTAGCACTCTGGGAGGCCGAGGCAGGCGGATTGCTCGAGGTCAGGAGTTCGAAACCAGCCTGAGCAAGAGCGAGACCCCGTCTCTACTATAAATAGAAAGAAATTAATTGGCCAACTAATATATAGAAAAACTTATAGAAAAAATTAGCTGGGCATGGTGGTGCATGCCTGTAGTCCCAGCTACTCGGGAGGCTGAGGCAGGAGGATTGCTTGACCGCAGGAGTTTGAGGTTGCTGTGAGCTAGGCAGACGCCACGGCACTCACTCTAGCCTGGGCAACAAAGCGAGACTCTGTCTGGAAAAAAAAAAAAAAGTGTCTGTCGAGCAGTTCCAAAGTGCCAGGTACTGCTTTGCATGTGTGGACGCAGCAGTGAACAGAGAATCAAGGTCCCTGTCCTCATGGAGTATACCTTCTATGAGGAGGAAACAAAAAACAATTAGTAAACAAATAAATAATATAATTTCAACAAATGACATTTTTTTTTTGTTTGTTTTTTTTGTTTTTTGAGACAGGGTCTTGCTCTGTTGCCCAGGCTGGAATGTGGAAGGCAGTGGAGCAATCATGGCTCACTGTAACCTCAAACTCCTGGGCTCAAGAGATCCTCCTGCCTCAGCCTCCCAAGTTGCTGGGGCTATAGGCATGCGCCACTATGCGTGGTTAATTTTTTAAAAACTTTTTTGCAGAGAAGGGGGTCTCTATATGTTCCTCAGTCTGGTCTGGAACTGTTAGCCTCAAGCAATCCTCCCACCTCAGCCTCCTAAAGTACACGGATTACAGGCGTGAACTACGATGCGTAGCCCACAAATTCTAAGAAGAGAATAAAATAAGGCAACAGGATAGAGAGTGACAGCTTTTTATCTAGAGGAGTCCTGGAGGACCTCCATGAGGAGGCTACATTTGAGCTGAGACAGAAATGATGTGAAGGGAAGATAGAAGGTTTGGCCCAGCTGGTTTACTAGTTTGTAAACTGGTTTGTTTTAGTTAGTTAGCTAATTTTGAGTGTGTTATAAATCTCAGGCAAGACAGTGGCTGTATATATAATACTCGGGGGAATTGATCCCGTGTCTAGCCAGATCTGTAAATGTCTTATCAATATATGTATTCTGTGTAGATTTTACAGAAGCTATGTTTGACTCAGAGGTGAAGAGAGTTTCAGTCCTCTTCGACCTTTGGCCCTGGAGGGATGGATTTGGGAGGGCTGTGCTGGCCCTGGAGGGGTGGATTTGGGAGGGCTGTGTTGGCCCTGGAGGGGTGGATTTGGGAGGGCTGTGTTGGCCCTGGAGGGGTGGATTTGGGAGGGCTGTGTTGGCCTCAGGAGAGCAGAGATCCTCGCTTGGGGGCTACTACAGGAGGGTGGGGGGCTATGTTTATGTCCAAACAGTGAGGTGGCAACAGTCCTCACATATGACATAGGACTGAAGAGAAGTGAGTTTTGTGTTGCATTTGCTAATACTGCCCATGTTTTGCTTTTGCATAACAGGTTGAAATAGAAAAGAAGTGGATTAAAACCGATGGAGAAGATCCAGATAAAGTTGGTGACTGTGTAACTCAGTAGGAGTGGCAAGAGTAAATGATGACGACCCCCTTGTCAAATACATAATTCACAGAAAGCACACCAGGGTCTGCTACTGTATAGTGGAAATGACATCTGAACAGTGGGCTTAGGACAGGTCCACTGGCTGTGTTTAGAGAAGTGTAGACCTAAAACCAAACAATTTGTGTTTTATGCTTTTGATGTGTTTTTGCCCTAGGGGTTTGATCTACAATGTGTCTATAATTTGTGTGATGTTTTGCTTTCCACTGAAACGCAAACTCAAAGGCACTGTTATTTGTTGTATGACCTGGCAGCCCCGTTTGGCCAAAGGGCTTTTGATTTTTGAGTACTCAGTGGGCGATTCTGTCGCACCCTGGATTACTTAGGTGCCATGTTTACTATTCCTATCTCTTCTTGCTGTGCTAGCACCTGTAGTAGAGGGTAAGGCAATCAAAGGAGACATTCACCAAAATACTCCATTTTCTCTCTTGCTTGCTTCTGAAATGTGGCCAGGTGTAGAGTGATGTTGAAACCACAAGCTAAAAACGGAGATCTGGAAGTATCTGCAGTTCTGAATTATTTATCTTCCTGTCCTCTTACCACATTGTTGAGCAATCATTGGCTGTGTTTGGTACCTGTCTTTCCCCCACTGTATTATCATTTTCAAAATAAGTTTGTATTCTGGTGTGTGCTGCAAAGAAGCTATTCCTGTTGGCATACATATTTTAGTACAAAGTCACTAAGATGTATTTCCTTTTGCTTGGCAGGATTTTTTTCAAAATGGAATCTGAGTATTGGACACTAGTTAAAATATTTATGTACATTAAAGATGAATTTTTTAAGTGTGTGAATGTTGTTTTCCAAAAGTACAGACTCTAAAAATGTGTTTTGATAAAGTGTTAGTTGTAATGAACACAAGCCTCTCTTGATAGAAGTCTAAACAGTAGTATGATTATTTTATCCTAGTTCTGCGATCTTGCTATTTTATGCTAATTCTGCTTAGAGTATTTTTCTTTAAAAGATGAGCAAAGTGAAAAATGCTATATTGTTTTACCTAGATTTCTAAGAGGCAACATTTTTATTCTTCAAAGTCAGGTAAATGACTATAATAGTTTGGTTCCTAATGAAAAGTCAATGGCATTAGCAATTATAACGCTGCTTTTAATCTCCTTTTAGTATTTACAATGAAATTCAGAATCTTAAAATTTATGAAGTCTATATTCTAGGTATTTTTTAGTCTGAAAAACAAACTCCTCCATGTGGTATTACTACACCTTCAATTTATGTTGAATCTCAGATGTAATTAGGAGATATTTTTCTCTATTTGCCAGATTTGTTTTGAGTCAAAACTGATATAATGTTCTTCCAAACAACATTTATTTGTTGGCCTACGGAGTTTATTTCATACGTTTTATTTAATGTTGTATTACACTCATTTAAATCTGTCTAAAAAACAGATTAAAACAAACATTTATGGGTGGTCTGTATCCATCAGGAGATTTTATTGCTTTTCATTATTTTACTGTAGAGGGAGAGGAATGCAAAAGTTGCTGGTTAAAATGAATTGGTATTGCTCTTTTTAACTTCACTTGATGCATTGCTCATAATATCATATGCTTGAGATTCACTGTTGATGTATAGGAGGGCAAATCTGTGTGTGTATGTCATTTTTAAAAAATTCCACCATCTTTCCTTATCATCTGGTGTGGGCACACTCTGGAGTGACTTCAATCTGCTCAGAACCCACACGGAGGCGGGCTGAGTCTGAAGCTGCACCACAGTCCCAGTGAAGTGAGCTGGGTTAATGACTGTCATTCCTTTCTGGATGTGTTTTAAGGCATCCTGCCCATAAAGAACTCACAATCTGATTCAGATGAACTTAATGAATATTTACACCTCAAAATAAATTCAGCCAAGTGCTCCGTTAATTGCCCCTCATGTTTCACACGTTGACTAGTATCTGTGGGTACCTCCCTGCTAGGGTCATTTACTCATAAGCCACCCAGCCTTCAGGAGCATCTCAGGATTCAGTGTTGAAAATATAATAACAAAAGACTGAGAGCTCAAATGGAGTTTCTGCAGCCAAGGTTGATAGCATTAACAGCAGGGGGCTACTGCATAATTGTTAATTTGCACATCTATTAGGATCCTTAAATATTCATTACTTAGTGTTAAATTAACATTCTGGGTAGAGAGGGGAGACTTTTTAATACAGTTCTTCTGACCTCAGTTATGGCAGGAGGTCAAATGTGACTACAGAGCTCTAAGTGAAAAATCAGGTAGGATCCATTTAGACTTACAAATTGAGAAGTAGAATCTCCTTTGCCAGAATAGTGATCTTCCAAAAACTCCTACTTTGGAGGGAGGGAAGGGAGAAAGAAAGGGAGTCAAGGAGGGAATACTTCTTTTCTAGCATTTTAATTTCAATCACTCCTTTATGAGTTTGACCAATTTGGAGTCAAATTAGCATATTTCCATGTAATTTACCACTTCATGACTAGTTATTCTGCTGTAATTGTTTTGGTACGATCACCTTTCCAGTTACGGGATCATATTAACTGTGTAAATGAATTCCTGGGTTGATCATTACATGATCAACTGTGCAGATCTGAATTTAAGGACATTTTCTTTTTCTATGGGAATTACAACAGTTTATCCATTAACAAAGGTATGAAAAAAGAATACTTTCTAGCACATAAATAAAGGCTGAAATTTTCTACCTGTTGTACATATTAGACTGTTCTAGGATTTAGTTCCCTTCATTCTGGATCTGTGCTTATGATACAGCCCCATTTATTATAAGTTCAGTTGGGAGGTCTTCCTTAACAATGACTGTTATAATGTTTTACTCTAAATATGATTTTATGTCCTGTCAATAAAAATATGAAACACATTGAGCCTTAATAATCATGTAACAAAATATTTTGTAGATTACATATTGATTTTTCTAAAATTAAAGATGTATTTCAAATGATTCTTGCTGTAGATTTATATCTTCTTTTGCAAGGCCTGGGGCAATATTTTTCAAGGTATGAAATCAATTTCAATAACCTTAAACAATTGACTCTCTGTCAGGCATATGTACATAGCTTCACTATTAAGGAGTCAGTGAACATGGCATATCCTGGAAAAATGACACTATCAAACTATAGTTGATGATGTTATAAAGGATGATTTTAAAAATAAGGTATGATCATGACTCATGAAGATATGAGATGACTATGTGCACAAGATTTTATTTAACTCATTAACTAATGAGGGAACTGGTAAGGTGTTATAACCACTTCCAAGGAGAATTCTTCAAAGAGCAGAGACATATATAGGAAGTAAAGAAGACTGAAAGAAGTTTGCAGATAGATGCAAAATGGATCTATGTACAGGACAATAGTCAATAATTCCTCATACCCTAACACGATTAATTTGTATTTCTCTGGACAAGGATCATGTGATGATTATCAGTTTTCTACAACTTACAGAGTTGTAAAATAACTCAAAGACAATGAAAGGTGTTGATACCCTGGATGAACGAGCTAGACAGGACTTCTACTGTTCAAAGTCTTTCACAATTTTTCCTGATAACAGGAGAAACTTTGTCCACAGGAGAATTCCATGGAATTTTCAAACATTGGCAACTTGTACAGTAGTACTTTAGAATTAATGTGCATTTAAAGGCAAAGTTTTTGAAGTTTAGAAAATTAGTTTTACATAATTGTACAGAATTTATTTCAGGTGAGTATGTGGATGGGGAAGGGAGAGTGTGAAGGAGGGCTATAATAGAAATGAAGATAAATCAGTGCTGATTAAGAAAAACAACCTAACAACCTCTCCACCCCACTTTTTATAGGAAATAGCCTCATATCGAAATTAAATTTTTATTTAGCTATTAAAATTAGTATTTCAAAACTGCAACAGCACTTCATAGAGGCCAGATCATTAAGCAGTGTTTTAGCCACTGCTGGCATTAACAAGGCTTGCCTCTAGTTCTTCAGGAACAACAAAAGGATTAATGACATAAACTGACAATATTAGTAACAACATTCCTCAAAATCCCATCAATCAATTCTTTCCTGTTTTGTTTCAATTCTAGCTATACTGCCCCTCCCCCTTTGTGGAGACACAAGGTAGATTTTGATGTTGTCTCTCCTAAACCCTCCCCATTCTCTGCAGCTACTCTATTTCAAGGATGCTTTGGTGCCCTTATCCAGGGTCCTAAAACATATGGCTATTGTGTATTCAGTTGAACCACATGCAGCTGCCAATATCCACCATGCTTGATGGCAATTTCATGGGGCTCAACCTAATTACCTGCATATTTCCCTGGGTCATATGAAACAGGATTTGTCTCTTTACAAGTGTATGAGTAAGTTCCGGCTTAAAACTGGCATTGAAATATGAATTTGACTGTAATTAATTTTTAAAGCAAGATAGTATTGCTAGTCAGGAAGCAAATAGTTAGGTAAAAAAAATCATATATAAAAGCTGCAGGTAATATTGTGCCTTTAAAATTAGGTTCCACTTATAAATAAAATGAAAACTGATTAGATTAATTTCCTCATGTTTTAAAAGATTAAAGTTAGTTCCATGAGACTTCCTGGGGAAGAAGGGCGACTCACCATTACACTTGTGAGGTGTGCTACTTCCCCTTCATGTATCTGCATCGGCACAGCCTTCCAAACTTCAGAGGGAAGGGTGGCTTATTTAAACAATATGATTGTGTGTTGACATTTTCCTGAGAAGCCCCCTTCGTGCTACCCAGAATTGTAAATTTCATGAAATGTAATTTGCAGTACACTCTTGAAACAGAAGAGGGTGCTCGTAGGCAAGCTGATGCTACCTAGTTAGAAACATTAGCTTTTGAATTTGGTGGTGCTTCTATTATGATTAATAAAAGATCTTGGGGGCATTTTATAAAATATTTTAAAGCATTGTGAGTCCAGTGGAGTATAATTAAAATTAATGCAGTAGACAAACACTTTAAAGTATTCTTAATGCCTTGTCTAAAAATGCTGTTGAATACGATTTTATGCATCCCCAAGTTTTAAATACTATGCTTATCTCTAAGCATTTCTAACTATTAAAGAGTCAAAAAAATGGTGCCTTTGTTTTCCAAAGATTTCAAACAAACTTTTTCTAATGAGAGTTACTATACTTTAAATAGTCCTACTTTAAAAGATTTATAAAATATAATTAATTCATTTTGTTTTGGCACGTGTCAAGGTCAATGCGGACTTTAGAAAGCTCCAGCCCAGGATTGTATCTTCAGATTCTTAGGTAAGAACAAGCAAATACAGAATATTCTATGCTACTTTGACTCAGGGACAAGCCTTCATACTGTTTCAGTCCTCAGAAAGCAGTAATGAGCACTGTCCTTCTACATTTCTCTTAGAAATCTTTCTGGGTGGATGTTGTCATTCTTTTATAAAGCCTGTTAGGATGCTCTATTTCCGAAAATCTTATATCATGAGTAAGTCTATGAGTGTAGCTGAACACATGAGGCTTTCCCCAAGATGTCTTTCACATTCTGAAGTATAATACAAAAGACTTCCTTAAGAAATTGGCTGTCACAGTTGGCCACTTTGAGTCACCTCAAAATGCTATGTGATCATAGTCCCAGTTAATCACCTTGCTGATCATTCTAATGTTTATCAGATGCTTACTATATGTCTGTATTTTTCTAGGCACTGGGGACAAGCAATCAAAAAACCAGGTAATTCCTGCTCTTGTACAGGGTATAAACAGATACCAAGTTGTGATCATTGCTATGCAGAAATATAAAGCAAGGTAAAGTGACAAAGAGTGATACAAGAATGCTATTTTAGATGGGTTGGTCAGAGATGTCCTCTCTGATGAGATGACATTCTTGCAGAGACCTGAAAGAAATGAGGGAGAGATCCACCCAGATGCCCCAGGGAAGAGTGCACCCAGTAGAGGCACTGCTAATGCACAGGCCCAAGACCGAGGGTGCTAGCTGGTCAGAGGAACTTCATGAAGGGCAGATGGGGGCTGAGTGGCTAGATCAGAGTGAGCAAGGTGGTGGGGGATGCAGATGGGAGCAATCAGAGGAATTGTGGGCAGGTCAGGGGAGGCCTGTACTTTGGCCAAGTACTTTGGATTTTATTCTAAGTAAGATGGGAGCCCCTAGAAGGCTTTGTGCAGAGGACTGACATGGACTTTATCACATGCTAAGATGGTTCTATGGACATAAAAGGGGGGCAATGGCAGGGGCAGAGAGAATAGTTGGGACTCTGTTGCAATACGTAGGTGTCTTAGTCTGTTCCTGCTGCTATACCTTAGAGTGGATAATTTGTAAACAACAGACATTTATTTCTCACGGTTCTGGAGGCTGAGAAGTCCAAGATCAAGGTGCTGGCAGATTCAGTGTCTGGTGAGGCCCTGTTCCTCATAGATGGTACCTTGTTGCTGCGTTTGCATGTGGCAGAAGGGGCAAAAGGGGTCCCTTAATTTTCTTTCATAAGGGCATGAATCCCATTCACAGGGACTCCACCCTTATGACACAATCACCCCCCAAAGGCCCCACCTGTAATACCATCACCTCAGGGGTTGGGTTTCAACATGTAAATCTTGGGGGGGACACAAGCATTCAGACAATAGCACTAGGTGTGAGGCGATGATGATTAGGAGTATGTGATGGGAAAACATGGTTGTACTCAGAACATATTCGAAATATAAAGCCAATAGTGTGTGCTGAAGGATTGGATGTGGGGTGTGAGGGAAAAAGGGGAACCAAAAATGAATCCCAGATTTTTGGTCTGAGCAACCAAAGAATGGAGTTTTTTGATTGTTTGTGTGTGTGTGTGTGAGAGAGAGAGAGAGAGAGGGAGAGAGAGAGAGAGAGAGAGAATGTCCTGCTCTATCACTCAGGCTAGAGTGCAGTGGTATTATCATAGCTCACTGCAGCCTCCAACTCCCAGGCTCAAGCAATCTTCCTGCCTCCCAAGTAGCTAGGACTACACATGCACACCATCATGCCAGCTAATTTTTAAACTTTTTTTGTAGAGAAGGGGCCTTGCTATGTTGCCCAGGTCTTGAACTTCTGGGCTCAAGGAATCCCCCTGCCTCCACTTCCAAAACTGCTGTGATTACAGGTGTGAAGTTTTTTTTGTTTGTTTTTTGTTTTTTATGGAGGAAAGTAAGACTGTTGTAGGAGCAGGTCTGGAGAGAAAGATGAGGAGTTCAGGTGTGGATGTGTTAACTTTGAGATGCCTGTTAGACTTCCAAGTGGAGACAGCAAGTAGCAATTCGAGGTGTGAGACAGGAGAGAGGTGGGCTGGAGATGTGACTCTGAGAGACATAAGCACTTAGAGTCGGGGGCACTGGATGGGATCCCCTGGGGGCGAGTATAAAGAACAGAAGTGGTCTGAGAACCAAGTCCCTGGGCTCTCTGAGTGTAGAGGTCAGGAAAATGAGGACAATGCAGTAAAGGACACTGAAGAAGAGTAGCTCGAGAAGAGGAAATTAGAGAATGATATTCCAGAGGTCAAGGGAACAAGGCTGTACTCAGCTGCCTCAGATGCTACCAACAAGGTAAGCAGAGGACTAAGAGTTGACCATTGGGTTTTGCAACATGGCACTTGGTGTCCTTGACAGAGACAGTCATTGAAGTGATGGTTGTGGAAGCAAGGGTGGGTGTGGATCCAGTGAGTAGATGGCTCTGTGGGGGAGGTAAAAACATCTTTTTACCTCTCAGGTCTTGTGGTTGGCCTAAGAATTAAACAGACATAAGACAGATTAGCAGGAGAAAATCATATGCATTTTATTTTATACTTTTACATATACATGGAAGGAAATCTTCAAAAGGAAAATGAAGACCCTATGAAGCCATTGGGCCACAAAGTTTATATACCGTTCGCACAGAGAGCAATACATTGCTGGGGATGAGTCAAGACAAAGGGGCTTGGGCTACAGGCATTAAATTGTGGGACAGAGGCTAGGAAATACATGGGGGGAACTAATGAAAGATAAGGGTTCTTTTAGTAGGTTTGATGTATAGGTTCATTTAGGCATCGACTCCCAGTCTCTGGTGATCAGAATGTTCTTCTATTTCTAGTACAAGAAAGGCACCTTTTTCATGAGAAATGTTATGGTCTGCTTTTAGATAGAAAGGAGCAGGTCAGAGAGCCTTTCATGCATCTGCTGTTTCTCAAGTGCCTTCAGCTTAAAATAATCAACATGCCAAAGCAGCATATTTTGCTGTGGCATGTTTTGAACCTCTTCAGCTCTTTTGAGTTTTGCTGTCAATATGAACACTGGGACAGTAGCTGCTGAGGTTGAGATCTTTCAACTTCTCTCCCATACCCTTTAAGATCCAAATCTTTTTTTTTTTTTTTTTTTTTTTTTTTTTTGAGACAGAGTCTCACTCTCCTGCCCAAGCTAGAGTGCCATGGCGTCAGCCTAGCTCACAGCAACCTCAAACTCCTGGGCTCAAGCAATCCTCCTGCCTCAGCCTCCCTATGTGATCATAGTCCCAGTTAATCACCTTGCTGAGAGAGATTCTATTTCAAGGATGCTTTGGTGCCCTTATCAGGGTCCTAAAACATATGGCTATTGTGTATTCAGTTGAACCACATGCAGCTGCCAATATCCACCATGCTTGATGGCAATTTCATGGGGCTCAACCTAATTCCTGCATATTTCCCTGGGTCATATGAAACAGGATTTGTCTCTTTACAAGTGTATGAGTAAGTCCTGTTAAAACTGGCATTGAAATATGAATTTGACTGTAATTAATTTTAAAGCAAGATAGTATTGCTGGTCAGGAAGCAAATAGTTAGGTAAAAAAAAATCTATATAAAAGCTGCAGGTAATATTGTGCCTTTAAAATTAGGTTCCACTTTATAAATAAAAGAAAACTGATTAATTAATTTCCTCATTTTTAAAAGATTAAAGTTAGTTCCATGAGACTCCTGGGGAAGAAGGGCGACTCAACCATTACACTTGTGAGGTGTGCTACTTCCCTTCATGTATCTGCATCGGCACAGCTTCCAAAATCAGAGGAAGGGTGGTTATTTAAATAATATGATTGTGTGTTGACATTTTCCTGAGAAGCCCCTTCGTGCTACCCAAAATTGTAAATTTCATGAAATGTAATTTGCAGTACACTCCTTGAAACAGAAGAGGGGCTCGTAGGCAAGCTGATGCTACCTAGTTAGGAAACATTAGCTTTTGAATTTGGTGGTGCTTCTATTATGATTAATAAAAGATCTTGGGGCATTTTATAAATATTTTAAAGCATTGTGAGTCCAGTGGAGTATAATTAAAATTAATGCAGTAGACAAACACTTTAAAGTATTCTAATGCCTTGTCTAAAATGCTGTTGAATACGATTTATGCATCCCAAGTTTTAAATACTATGCTTATCTCTAAGCATTTCTAACTATTAAAGAGTCAAAAAATGGTGCCTTTGTTTTCCAAAGATTTCAAACAAACTTTTTCTAATGAGAGTTACTATACTTTAAATAGTCCTACTTTAAAAGATTATAAAATATAATTAATTCATTTTGTTTTGCACGTGTCAAGTCAATGCGGACTTTAGAAAGCTCCAGCCAGGATTGTATCTTCAGATTCTTAGGTAAGAACAAGCAAATACAGAATATTCTATGCTACTTTGACTCAGGGACAAGCCTTCATACTGTTTCAGTCCTCAGAAAGCAGTAATGAGCACTGTCCTTCTCAAGATGGCTCTACATTTCTCTTAGAAATCTTTCTGGGTGGATTTGTCATTCTTTTATAAAGCCTGTTAGGACGCTCTATTTCCGAAAATCTTATATCATGAGTAAGTCTATGAGTGTAGCTGAACACATGAGGCTTTCCCCAAGATGTTCTTCACATTCTGAAGTATAATACAAAAGACTTCCTTAAGAAATGGCTGTCACAGTTGGCCACTTTGAGTCACCTCAAAATGCTATGTGATCATAGTCCAGTTAATCACCTTGCTGATCATTCTAATGTTTATCAGATGCTTACTATATGTCTGTATTTTTCTAGGCACTGGGAGAAGCAATCAAAAACCAGGTAATTCCTGCTCTTGTACAGGGTATAAACAGATACCAAGTTGTGATCATTGCTATGCAGAAATATAAAGCAAGGTAAAGTGACAAAGGAGTGATACAAGAATGCTATTTTAGATGGGTTTGGTCAGAGATGTCCTCTCTGATGAGATGACATTCTTGCAGAGACCTGAAAGAAATAGGGAGAGATCCACCAGATGCCCCAGGGAAGAGTGCACCCAGTAGAGGCACTGCTAATGCACAGGCCAAGACCGAGGGTGCTAGCTGGTCAGAGGAACTTCATGAAGGGCAGATGGGGCTGAGTGGCTAGATCAGAGTGAGCAAGGTGGTGGGGATGCGAGATGGGAGCAATCAGAGGAATTGTGGGCAGGTCAGGGGAGGCCTGTACTTTGGCCAAGTACTTTGGAATTTTATTCTAAGTAAGATGGGAGCCCCTAGAAGGCTTTGTGCAGAGGACTGACATGGACTTTATCACATGCTAAGATGGTTCTATGGACATAAAAGGGAGCAATGGCAGGGGCAGAGAGAAGTAGTTGTGACTCTGTTGCCATACATAGGTGTCTTAGTCTATTCTGCTGCTATACCTTAGAGTGGATAATTTGTAAACAACAGACATTTATTTCTCACGTTCTGGAGCTGAGAAGTCCAAGATCAAGGTGCTGGCAGATTCAGTGTCTGGTGAGGCCCTGTTCCTCATAGATGGCACCTTGTTGCTGCGTTTGCATATGGCAGAAGGGGCAAAAGGCTCCTCAATCTTCTTTCATAAGGGCATGAATCCCATTCACAGGACTCCACCCTCATGACACAATCACCCCCAAAGGCCCCACTGTAATACCTCAGGGGTTGGGTTTCAACATGTAAATCTTGGGGGGGACACAAGCATTCAGACAATAGCACTAGGTGTGAGGCGATGATGATTAGGAGTATGTGATGGGAAAAATGGTTGTACTCAGAACATATTTGAAATATAACACCAATAGTGTGTGCTGAAGATTGGATGTGGGGTACGAGGGAAAAAGGGGAACCAAAAAGAATCCAGATTTTGGTCTGAGCAACCAAAGAATGGTTTTTGATTGTTTGTGTGTGTGTGTGTGTGTGTGTGTGTGAGAGAGAGAGAGAGAGAGAGGGAGGGAAGAGAGAGAGAGACAGAGAGAGAAGAATGTCTGCTCTATCACTCAGGCTAGAGTGCAGTGGTATTATCATAGCTCACTGCAGCCTCCAACTCCCAGGCTCAAGCAATCTTCCTGCCCCAAGTAGCTAGGACTACACATGCACAACATCATGCCCAGCTAATTTTTAAACTTTTTTTTGTAGAGAAGGGGCCTTGCTATGTTGCCCAGGTCTTGAACTTCTGGGCTCAAGGAATCCCCCTGCCTCCACTTCCAAAACTGCTGTGATTACAGGTGTGAAGTTTTTTTTTTTTTTTTTTTTTATGGAGGAAAGTAAAGACTGTTGTAGGAGCAGGTCTGGAGAGAAAGATGAGGAGTTCAGGTGTGGATGTTTAACTTTGAGATGCCTGTTAGACATCCAAGTGGAGACAGCAAGTAGCAATTCGAGGTGTG